AGATAAAAGATATTTTTCAAGTTAAAATATTATTTTAAAAGTCATTTTTATATTTGATCAAAATATTATATCAAAATAATTTTTAATGCACAAAATTGTTTTTAATGCATACAAGGATTTTGAGTTTATGCATTCATTGCTAAATATAAAAGTATCGGTTCCTTTATAATTGATCTAATCTTTGATCTTGCTTCAAAATTTGGCTCTTAAGCTCTTGAATGTGTGATTTCGATCTTGACCTTCTTCATGAGTTTGACTGTAATAATAACTTTTGATATTTTGACAATCATAGATCAATTTTTTAGTGGATGCTTCGAAGATTATGTTCACTTTAAATTCAATTGTTAGTAAACAAGATTATCTTGTTTATTATAATCAAAACTTTAATGTTATAATCAACCATAGTTCAACATATAGATGGTCGGTATGTGTAAGGGAGATATTGATTATTCTTAGTACCAGTTAGTTCCACTCATATGACACTGAAGAGACAGGGTTCCTATCATGTTAGACTAATACAATGAGGCTGTTGCTACTGCTCCTACAGAAGAGAGAGTCAGATCTGATCCAGTTGAGGAAGTCAAGAAATACACTAACCCCAACTCTAAACGGGCAGTTCGGACCAACCTTTTACGGAAAGTCCACTAATTGAATGGTTTTATCATTCTGACTCTAATTCTCCGATCTTACTATTTTCCTATTTGTTTTATTTTATATGCTAAACCTATTAATTTCAAAAAAAGTGGAGAGTCGTAGTTTTTGATTTGACGTATGGTGATAATGGAACATTAATACTAATTGCAGTATGTATGATGCTTGATTTGTACTAAGTTTTATAACTTCTTAGTTTGCCGGTGTATTACTTCATATTGATATTGTGTTGCTGCATATCTGTTTGGGTTTTTTTGCTTGGTATATATACTATGTAATACATTGTTTGGTTTCATGAAGTTATGGGAATTTGTGTAAGTTAGGGATAGTTGTGTGTCACTTGAGAAAACTAACTGAGAAGTAGTAGATCATATACTTTATTTTGGCAAACACTCTACACACTCACAAAAGCGACATTAAAAATGCAAAATATATTTTGAAATTAAGCTAAGCCAAAACGGGGAGATTGTAAGTAACATATTTTTTATATTTATTATTTATTTATTGGTTTACTTAAATTAGAATAATTTTTAAATATCAAAATATGTGCAAAACGTGTACAATAGGTTTCAATCCAAACTGGTAAGTCAATTAGTCAAGAGTGACTGACTAGATGCTATAGGTAAGGATTTTAGGGTTTCAATGCCCTAAACAATGTGTAATATGTACCTTCCATATAGAAACATATACAAAAATATATATTTACCATTTTGGACTGATTTGATTGGTCAAATAATAAAAAGAAGGAAAATTTGCTTTAACAAATCAAAATTTTTCTTAATTTAATTATTAACCATATTAAACATATTTTACAATATATATTTACCATCTTAAACTGGTTTGATTGGTCAAATAATTAAAAAAAGTAAAATTGATTTAACAAATTAAAAATTTCTTTAATTTAGTTATTGACCATGTCAAACAAATTCTACACAATTCTTACTGTGCAAAACTTCTATATTTTAGGTAAGAGATGTTCATGTCTTGAAGGAGTCTTCATATAAGTAAAGAAGATCATTAAGACACTGATAATGTTTGAAGAAAGATCTGCCTATGTTCGGTGTACCTAGAGCAGCAAGTTCTAAAGTCTTATCTCCAGTGAGTTCTAATCAACTGATGTTCTATTGAAGCATGTCTAAGTAAAAATCGTGTTCTTCAATAATAATTGAAGATAACACACATGAGCATGAATTATATAATCCTACTCAAAGATCACACTACTTGACGTGAGTTAAAACCGGTGAATCATAATCCAAGTAGTGGTTGCAATAGAGTACTACAGTGAAGTGGCGATAAAGTTAAGATCATAGAGTTTGATTCCACTTCTCCAACAAGTCAAAAGAAGAAAGAAAATGAGGGAGTTTTTCTTTACTTACTTTTGATTGTTTTTGTTAATTTTTGAAATTACAAAATCGAAACTATTGTATTTTTATTCTTTGATTGCGGATTATTTTATCCGTGCCATGGGAGCCATGGATGTTTTCCCTAGGGTTTACCATGTTTTATCTGTTGTTCATCTTTATTTAATTCGCAATAGATTATATCTTCTAAAACACAAATTTGTTAGGCTGTCTTCATCAGAATTGTACGTAAAAATGCCTATAGGTAGTTCTAACTAATCAGCATATTCTAGATGAAATGAATAATTAAAACAAATTGTTTAATTAACTAGGTTTTAGTATTTACAATTATCACAATTCATGAATCATAAATAATTATAACTAATTTCATCTTTAGTAGCAAGGATATCTATCACAAAAGCCCAAAGATAAAAAGAAATTTTTTTTGAATTTTTCTATTTTTTTTTTTTTAACATTTTTAATAAATCAATCACACATAACAACAAGTATGGTAGAATAACAAAATCGCACCACAAACTTAAAATATACATTATCCATTCTGTGAACACAAAATAAGCCTAAAGAGTGTTAGCAGTACTTACATGTCATATAGGAAGGGATCAATTTCTTTTACTTTTTGTTTTTTATCGTTCTACAGAATATTTTCTGTATATATCTTAAAAGAGAAAAAATAAACACCAATGCAATCACATGAGAGTTTAGATAAACTTAATTTTTATTGACTTATGTTGTCGAATTGTTGAATATTAAAGTGCAACAGAGTATCATTTTGATTGAATACCAGTGGGATGGGAGAATTTTGAGTTCTTTGAAAATCTTAGGATTTGCCTAGCGAATACGATCACAAGGTTCGACCCCACTGCTTTGCCTGGGGTTTGCATAGGCTTGCGATCTCTAGCTATGGTAGCTACGTGATCACATGGTTTAAGCATCGAATCCTTACAATTTTTTTCTGCATAATTGTGACACTAGGAATAAAATGTTAGAAATACAAGTTAAAAATTAATTAAAAGTGCAGAAGTACTAAAAAACAATTTTAGCTTTCTACGTGGACAGAATAATTAAAAAAAAGTACGAGTTACTTCCCATTAAACGATTAAAATGTAATCTTGGACTCTATTTTGAGTAATGCTCTCTCATGATGGCTCGATCGGATTGTGCTAGCTAAGGGTGAATACAATTCAATTTGAATAGTTTGAGACAAACATTCAAATCACACCACTTAAAGCGATTTAAAATTTTTCAAACCAAATCAAACCATTTCAATGTCTAAACAAAACCAATCAAAACCACTTCTTTCGGTTTGGTTTTTAACAAAGAAAAATATAATATATTTCGAATAAATTAAATCATAAATGTTTGTCTAAAATTTCTCATCAGAACATAAATAGTATCATTAAAAATATTACAAATCTAAGTTCTATAATTCTAATCATTATAATGCGTGACAAAAATATATATTTTAACTTCTTAGTCGATACTAATTGGTGTAACATCGGCAATTGTGACACATAATTCATTGATTATATATAGTTAAAATGATATATAATAACTAATAAAAGAAAATGAATAGAAAGATCGAATACGATAATACCTACTATATATAACTTTTTGTGAATTATCCAATGCTTCTATTTCATCCAAATATAGACGAATTACTATACGTTTCTTGTTACTACGCAACTAATTTTTTGGATAAATTACCGCCCCAACCATATGTGCACTAAACGAACTCCTAAAGGAATCAAGAATCCAACCACTAATAGGGAATGTAAACTAAAAAATAGTTGTGGATATTTGAATAGTTAAAACACCTTTAACAATTTGAGGGACAATTTTGTATTTATTTGGATTCAATTTTCACCAAAGTAATAAGTCGAAGGTTCATTGTTCAAATCTTCAAAACAGCCATTTAAATAATCCACCAAATCATTCTAACAAATAATAGTAAAATTTAGAAACAAGGTTAAAATGTAAATAATTAATTGCATGGTCTGACCAGAAAATTGAGACTCAAATAAATAATAAATATTGTTTGTTAAAAATTTAAAGGAGCCCGACAATGATTAGAACAAAACAACATAACAACCAATAAAAATATAGCAAATAATTATTTTTAAAAAAAAACTTAGATAAACTAGACTGGAAATTGAGGCAAAATTCGAGAAATTTATTAGTAGGAAAAGAAATGTGTAAGTTTTGAATTAAAATCTAGATTTAATTATCTGCTCAATTTGATCGATAAATATGGTTTATCAGCGATTGTTCAACACTTCACCTAATTTGGGGGTTTTACATTTACAATTGAGATGACTGATTGATATTTATGTGTGATTTAATTAATTAATTAGGATGTATAATTATCTATTTAGGTATTAAGTTTAACTGAGTTATGTTTAGTATGACTGTATCTTTCTAACTGAGGTGTTTAATTTTAATTGGTTTTGGCGTTTTGAACTGATCTGCAAAGATTGAAACCTAAATCAAACCCTTAAAAGTTGTTTGGCTAGGTTCAAAATCAAAATGTTGACTGATCCACGTGAATCGAAACCAATGATTTCAAAATAGTTGTTTTTGTTCGATTTTATGATTTGACAGTTTCATTGTTTAGCCCTAGTAATCGCCTTGAACTACTTGCAATCACCGTCTTTAACAGTTTTACCTCCAAATTCTAAAGTTGCATTTTCACCCGTGAGAATTCCAAGTAGTCTACCAATTTCCCGTTTGTGTGGGCAACTTTCTTGATCACCCATATCCTCTTCATCAATTATATAACATTCCTCGAGGTCGGATGGTTGATTAGATGTGATGTGCATACTGAATTTTATTTGTTTATCCTCCGTCCTCAAAATCAGCTAACATTTCTCAATTATAATCAATAAGGATTTATTTAATTTCACGTATAAGAACATGTAATAGCTACTCAAAATGTTCAAAAAATAATGTTATTATTTTTGCATATTAATACTTAATTTACATCCCCTTAAAGCCAATCATTAAGGAAATGTAATCCAATCACTTTAATTAAAATGTTTTTTTTTTTTTTCAAAAAATAAAAATAAGATTTAATACTACTTCTCATAACCCCAGAAATCCATCTTGCTTCGTAAAGATAGTTGATTGATTTGGTTCATCGATGGTTCATTTGCATCCTCAAACCTCACCCCTTTAGACGAGTCATCATGTCCAATTTGAGAGGTCACAAGTCGATCGATCATACCCCATTCGTTCAAATTCTCCGGTTGGCACTTCTCGACCGCTTCCATACCCGATCCATAACCAAGATTCTGATCAGTGCTGCCACTTTCACAATCTCTAGTGTGGGACATGAATTGCTTCACCATAATTGGTGACTGATCTGAAAACTGATCATATCCCAATGGCTTGTGAGTAGGTATAAAATTTTGGGCTTGTACTTGTGGATATTGAGACAGTGCCACTGGAATGTGAGAATAGTTAATTCCATGAGCATGTTGTGGATTCAGTAAATATAGACTTTCCCTTTGTGTCTGTGTGAATACTGTACGAGATTGGGTGGCGGCTACAGTGTTGATTTGATCTGAACTTATTCCACTTCCTCCTCCATTTCCAACTTTAAATAGATTCTTCTTCTTGAAAACCCTACAAATCACCCATCCATCCTCCTGCGTGCATGTATCCATAAACAATTATTCGTCCAAAGTTAATTAAAATTTAAGTTAAAATCAACAATTAATTTTAATTACACGTTTCATGGAATCCACAAAATTTCAATCACATATTTTATCAATTTTTATCAAATTTAACTAAAAATAACATTTTTATCTAAACTAAACTGGGGCATGGATATTCTTAATCCAAAATCAAAAGTGCGTACGTTAGTTTAGGTTGCACGGAAACTTTCAAGATGTACGCTTACTTTCTGTATTGAACTTGTTTTGAAAACTCTAAATAAGTTAAATTTTATTTTGATGTTTATAATTTAATTCAGAAACCTTGAGGAAACTTTTAGCCCCTATTTCACGATCATTATTTTCAATTTCCTTTTTCTACATACTTATTTTCAACCACACATTTACGTAATAAAATATTTTGTACATAAAACCAAAACTTTTTCTTACTTTTTAAATGTACATTCTCTTAAAAATCATTATTCAAAACTCTATTTTTCTCAAATAATGGTTATCAAAAAGAGGTTTAATGAATTTTGATTAAAAAAATTGTTAACTTAAATTAAGAATTTCATGTTATTATAGACTTTTTTGTTGGCTTCAAGTAAGAATTAACTTAATTTGAGGTTCAACTAAAAATTTACTTTATTTTAGGCTTTAATTCATATAGTACGATAAAATTAATACTCTCTCCATTCAATAAATATAGGCTTGCTTTCATTTTCACACAAATTAAAAAGTTATTAGTTTATTCGGAACAATGAAACAATAAATTTTTTTTAGATTTTTCTTAATACATCCCTAATAACTAAATAGGGGGAAAAAAAACTAAGAAATCAATTGTACTCTTAACTCCGAAAGTTGCCTATAATTTGAGAAAACCAAAAAAGAAAAACAAGTAACTTTTATGGGCTAGAGGGAGTATGCGATTAAAGTTCGAATCAATGTTTAATAGCCTTTACAAAATTAATATTTAATTTAGAAAATAAATTATAATTTTTTGTACAACGTTTCTACGTCCTTTTAGTGTCCTAGTATGTAATATTATGTTTTATGAAAGAACTTACACTGGAATTCCCTTGAGCATCATCACTATCTTCGAGCCTGTACTCGTGCATAATCCAGTCAGTCTTTTGGCCATGGGGAGCTCGGCCGCGGTAAAAAACAAGGGTTTTTCTCATACCAATCTTCTTGAAACTGTTTCTTATGCATTTGTCCCTCCCTGTAGCCTTCCAAAATCCTGCATTTGTTGCTCTATTTGTTCTTGAACCTGTTGGATATTTTCTGTCCTTGTGGCTGAAGAAGTACCAGTCATTCTGCGGAGTTGATCCAATTTTGCACATCTCTAAAACAGGAATTTGGAAAATTATGCTAGGCAATATAAATAGCGTGTCGATTTTCACTTACTTTTAAATACGATCAAACATACATGCTCTTCTAATATCAAAAGAAATGGTTAGATGAAGAAGTAAACTTGAAGATTGGCCTTGTTATTTTCCAAATACATATAATAGGCATAAATAGACTTGAGATTTTAAATGAACAAAAAGTTACATGGAGATGCAGCCAGCCAGTAAATCAAGATTCTGGAAATTTTTATTTGAAAATATATTTCTTAATTGAATAGTTATAAGAAAAGTCATTCTCGACATGGATATATGTTAACATAAATTATTCAATAATAACAAAATTTGCTTAACATAAGCAACGCAATTCAATCGATTTCATCATGCCATATAAAAATATAGTTTTGTGTTTCTTTTTTTATAAAAAGGACAAAAACATTCTTCACATAACAAAAACGCCATACCATGATTGAATGATTTATTATGGAGGAGTAATTAATTTGTTGGAGATATGCAGACAAAACTAGACATGAATAGTTTTGAGTTTTATTAGGGTTTGACTACTCCACCAAATAAGTAATTTTTTGAGATAAAACTGTAAGTACCTACTAATATAGAGTAATCTTCGAGACTTAGTCACTGTTTGGTTTAGCAAAAAATCAGTTTTTTTTTTCTTTTTGGATAAAAAATAATGAAATATAGGATTAAAAGGTTTATTGTTAACTTTAATTTAGATTTTTATCAAATTTTTTAGTTAAATCGAACGTGCACTTAGTCAAGTGGATTCACAAATGAATCCCCAGAATTGTGCGAATGATTTGAACTAAGCTGTGAGCCCTCTTGATATTGACGACATGAGGTTCCATGATGATCGAATTCTTAAGGTGGAAGCCTCCACGGTAACACAGGTCTCCAGGGTGGAGATTAAATAACCTCAATGGAGCATGCAATCCTTCTGGATTGAAATAAGATGATTGTGGTAGTCTTGTTTTGGGTGAATCTTGCCGATAACGATGTACATAATGCTTTATTGGATTGGAAGTTGTTAATGAAAACACGAATAAAAGTTCTATATATCGGTTAGATGTGTAAGATTATTATAGATTGTTGAAAATATACAACATAAAAGGATTGAGCTACTCCACGGAATCATTAGCTTTTGAGACGATACCCTAAGTCCCAATAAAATTTTCCTCGTCTTATTCCTCTTCTTCTTTACCATGATCTTTCTATTTTCATTCTTACCGAACTACACCGTCTAAATACATAAATCTCGAGTAGCAAGTTCTAAAAATATACTCTCGACATGAGCATTCGGGGTGAGCTAAATCTTTTGAGACTTGATGGATTTTAATAGTTAAATTATTTGCATGCAATTATTGATAAAGTTAAGAATAATTTACCTTGCAGTTCCCATGGCTCAATCTTATTCAAATCAACCTCTCTTATGACCTCCATATCAAACTTCTGAAATGAAACTTTTTTCTTCAAGTAATAGTGAAGAAGCTCTTCGTCCGTCGGGTGAAATCGGAACCCCGGAGGAACTGCACTACTCGATGAACCCATCGACCAACTTTTCGATGCACAGATTATGATGACGCTAAACTAAAGCATCTAAAAATTCCTCACACTTTCTCTATGTATACGGCAACTGATAGACAGTAAATGAGAAATCATTTCTACGTAAAAAGGCTTGTATATATATCTCAACTGTCAACGAGATATGTGATGGAAGTTGACGTCCGGTCACGGCGGCGGCGGCAAAGCTTAAAGCTAACGTAGAAAGCAAGTTAAAGAAATTGAGAAGTATTTGCTCCGATTCAACCTAGCCATTCTACTACTTCCACGCGCGTCTACGGAGAGTAGAATCTGAATGGTTTGAAAGGGTAAAATGTTACCATCCTCTTTCGAGTAAATATTATATTTTTATAGGATAGGGCATTTTTATTGGAACTACCTGCAATTTAGGTGCATTTAATTGTCAATATTTTTCATGAAAAATGTATTTTTTTTTCTTAAAATTCCTACTTTTGTATTATTTTAATGACATTTTTTTCATGGAAACCATTTTTCTACTTTTGATCACGTGATCATATTTTTTTCAAAATTAAGGAAAATATTTTCTTTAAGATGAGTAGGATTTTATTTTTCAGCGAATTCACTCTCTCTTTCTCCCTCTTATCTATCCACTCTCTTTCATCTACCCAACAATAAAAAACGAACAAGTATAATATTTTTTAACTGAAAATTAAATCATTCAAACACATTTGATTGACAATTTCCATGCAAATAAGTTCAAGGCAATTGAATTGCCTATAATACTTTTTTTTTCCATGCAAATTTCATACTTGCAATCAGACGTATCCTTAGAATTGGATTGGACTAGTCGATTTGGTTCGGTTTCATGTAAAATTATTCCGATATTGAATTTTAAAATCAAGAACCAAATTCTATTATTGGTTTTTCCTAACGAATACTTCAATTCGGTTATAAAATTATTTAGTTATAGTCTCTTAATTAAATCATAATTTATATGAATGCATGATTATACGAACACGTGAATTTATATGAAAATACATGATTATCAAAGGTTTTTTTTTTTTTTATTTGTGATAATCAACAATTTTGTTGATCGAACAAGAGCGTCAGAGTGAAATAAAATAATTTACACATCTTTTTATAGTTCAAATTCACGCAAGAGAATAGGAATGGACCGAAACAAAATCGATTGATTTTGATCCTCTCTGTGTGTGTGTGTGTGTGTTTTTTTTTTTTTTTAATGGAATTCAATGGTTCTATTTTCATAATTCTCAAATAGGAATCGATCTTGTCCAAACTGAACCTCTCAGTGCCCGGCCGTAATGTTAATACTCTCAATAATCCAAAATTTATCTTTTAAAAATCATAATAAAAAAGTATAGTTTAATTATAAGGAGACTTCTTTTTAGCTTATTGGTTTCATTTAACATTAATTATTCTGTAATTTGACATAATTTACACAATTAAACTGAAGATTGTAAAAAATTTGCACAGATTATTCAGCAACTTATTTAATTATATCAAGCTAAACGATCATGCATTGACCTAACTAAGAGCATCGTCAAAAAACTCTTTATTTTCAAAAGGTTATCTTAACCCTAATATAGAGTATTTTAAATTAAAAGACTCACAAACTCTTTATTTTACTTTTTCCAACATTCATTTATTGTTTTTCCCATATTTTTTACATGTCATTAACTAAAATATTCAATTCAATGTAAATAATGTAAGTACTATAGAATTGAAACTTTCAACAATATAAATATAATCTTGAAAAAAATATAAATACAGAGTGAATTTGACTATTAAAATGTAGAAAGTCAAACATACTCTCTACTCTAAGATGTTAAAATAAAGAATAGCTTCGAGCTTAATTATAAGATTGTACTCTTTAAAATAAAGAATAATTAACTTTTAAAGAGTCTCTTGAAAATTCTTTAACACTTTATACATAAAGGTTTTTAAGGTGACAATTTTTCGATAAGAAGCATATCATGCCCCTGTCTGGCACTCATATTCCAAAATTTATTTTTCTCAAACTTATCTTCAACTATATATTTCATGACACTCGCGACAATTATCAACTTTTTGAACACTCATTTCATCAAATCTACTAAAAATTTAATTTTTAGCAAAATCAAACAGATACATATAAAGTGACAAGAAAACTCTCATCCAATATTGTAAGTTAGCCCCCCGTTTCAACTCCATTCTTTAAAAATTTATTTTCACCGAACTCATCTTTAACAATACATTCTCTCATTAAAATACTTTTGCATGTAAACCCAAAACATTTCTTATATTTTTAACCACATATTCCACCCCCACCCCCCTCGAATGAGCTCAAACACACCCTTGGTAGTAACAAGTTAACATAACTTTCAATCGAGTAGGATGAATTGCTTTTTACTCTATAGTGAAAGTAGGTTATTGGTCATGAGTGATAAGTTGATGGTGCAAGCCACTTGCTGCATAGTAGGTTTAGTTTTTCATTCCTAAAATGTTTCTGTACTAAAAAATGCAGCAATGATCCCGAGGAAATATTTAAGAAAATTTGAAGACATTTGATTGTTAGTTAAGCAATGTTGAGAAATAAACCTTCTGGGGATTGTCAAAATTCATTGGACGGCAAATATTTAAGTTGCATTATTGCAAGAATTTCACAACTAAGGGTTCTATAAGCGTTTTAAATATAACAGTTGTAGCCATTGCACATGTAGCATGTACAGAGAGTTTTAGACTAATAATTTGATTGATTCATTCAATTGTACGCTATCTTCAATAAGCTCGTTACGTCAAACATCTTCGCATACCTATTTAAAATATTGAATAGGTATAAGTGTGAAAGTTGAACTTCTTATGTTTAGGAACGCCAGCTAAAAGATAACAAAAATTGTGGTTAAGTCGTTGAAAATTAATTTCTCAAAGTTCATAGAATTTATTGTATTTGAGTGATTTTGTTTACATACAAAAATAATGTTGATAGGAACACACGTCAATGAATTGTGGTTCAATTAATATAAGTGATGTTATATATAATAAAAATGAAATTTGAGAGAGAGAGAGAGAGAGAGAGAGACTAATAATAAAATATAAAAAATGAATTAGATGAGTAAAAAAGCTCTAACAAATGAAAGATCTTGTTTGATGATCATTATTTTGAGAAAATGAAATTTTGAATACTAATTTTTTGGAGATTGTACAGTTAAAAAGTAGGAAAAAGATTGAATTTACATGCAAAATGTTTTTCAATGTAAATGAGTATGAAAATTAAAGAATTTTGAAATAATTATTGTCAAACATGGACGAACTTTAGATAGAAAATTGTAACCAACAGTAATGTTAACATGGCGCTTATGTCTAGCTAGAAGCAGTTTCATCTAAATAATTTTCACAATGTATGTAGTCACTCAAATTTTATTTTCGACCTTTTTCTTGACATTAAAGTTGCTCGGCATTTTGTTTGGAATAAAGTCAGTCAGACATGCTAGAAAAAAGGATTCATAGACTGACTAATTTAGCAGAAAGTAGTCGTCTTTATTTATTTTATTTTATTTTATTTTCAAAGTGTCCAATCATGCTTTGATAATGTCTACCCTGTTTTTTAGCCTATCCCTGTAGCATTGTTGGTTTGTTTTGGGCATACTTTATATAATAGAGTAGAGCTAAGGTTGAATAAATAGCTCGTCCAGCTGGACTAAACCTTAATTTGTTTAGACAATTAGACAAATTAAATAGTCGAATTGTGTGATTATTAGTTCAATCAACTTGACAAACAATTGATTGTCTTTGCGAGGAAATATACTGGCAATAGATGATAATCATTTTGAATCGGTTAAAGTGGTCTTTTGACCTTAAAAAAATTGTATTATACTTTATTTTGATCTTTAAAAGGCACTCCATGTGGGAAGTAATAGCCCAAGAATCAAAAAGTCTCTCCAATGAATGGCGTGCCATTGAACCTTGATCCAACGCCTAGGAAATTTCTTTATTTATTTAAATTTTTAAATCAAATATTTGAGAAGAAAGTGTATTTTTCAGTTAACCCGCTTTCCTGGAAATTGTGATATTTGTGGGTTTATTTTAGCCCCTATTTGAGCCCCATTTTTTTAAGAATGCATTTTTTCAAATTTCACTTTCAACTACAAATTCTTTCATAAAATAATTATACAAGTATTTCAAAAACTTTTTCCTTACTTTTAATCACACATTCTCCAAAAAATCATTATTCCGAAATATTTTACCCCAAAAATGAAGATCAAACATGGGCTTAATTTGAGGTTAAAGTGAATTACTGGGGACTAAATTGAATGAAATTAGAAAGATATATTCAACGGACGGGTGAAATTAGAAAGATATATACAAAAGATGAAATTTGAAAAGTTTGGGTTGAGGACCAAAAAGTTGAAAAATATAAATTTAGATAACTATCTTGGATACATTGGATAGTCGTAGGGTATCAACAACCTAAATGATGGGTATCAAAATCTACATATGGTTGTACGTATGTTTTACTATTATATAAAAAAGGAATGGGAAGGTACTGTAGTTAGAACGGTGAATTCTTCTATTTTATTACACTAGAAATTTTTTTCGTCGTGTAAGCAAAAATGACATCGTTTTGTCTTCAATTATTTTCGTGATGCTGACATTTTTACTTTTCTTCAATTCACGTAGAGCCTTCTTTACTTTTTCTCTATTTTCACACTCTACAGCCTCTCTACTACTCCATATACATACATACATACATACATACATACATACATTATATTTATTTTTTAGATTTTTCCTTGATATATAATCTAAGATTTCAATGTTTTGGGACTAATTTTCCCCAACACGCAAGTTAATTTCTTTTTTTCCCCCTATAGTTCTCTATTTGTATTATTTTTTCGAATTGACGTTTTTAAAAATGTATACTGTTTGAATCTATTTTTTATTTTCAGTTAGTTGGCTTAAAATTATGGTTTGAACGTATTATTTAGTTGTCTGTGATTTTGTGTTTCTTTCTTTGGAAATATTCAGGATTTACACTTATTATCTTTGTTCTGAAATTCACTTTTCAAAGATGTTATTTTTGTTCGTGGCCTCG